AGCCCCTTGGGTAGGCAAACCCGCCCGCACCTGTGTCTTTTATGCAACACCCGGTATAAAAGCGTCATGGATGGCGTTAGGACACACGTCCGGCCGTGTGCGTATGTGTGCGTCTCACGGTTTCCTCTGCCTTCGAGTCCGTATCGCCCGTCGTCCGTCGTCGTCGTGGCGGCTGAAACCCCCAACAGGTTCCATGTCCGGGGCTGGCCGCCGATACGTGTTTGGATACGTGATGGATCCAGCCAGAGAGGCGTGCCCAGCGCGGAGTCGAGGCGTTCCACCAGCACCTGGTATCAGCGCGCTTGTCGCCCGGGCCGGGCCCAGCCATGAGCCAGCCATGAGGATAAGGCAGACATGCAGCGCCTCGCCTCGCCTGGCCTGTCCGCGGCCCGGTGGTGTGCTCCAAGGGCAGCCTATGGCTGTGTGAGCTGCGCGCCGTCGTACACCCCACGAGCGCAGCACACACAACGCCTGACATGCGGCGGATATTTCAACTGGTAAAAAGTGAAAAGGGCGTAAGTCCAATGGGAGGGAAGTCCGACGACTTACGCCCTTTTCACCAGTGATTTATTGATGGACGCCGCGCGGCGTGTACATGGTGCAGTTTTGCTACTAAACAAGCAAAGAGTACTTCACTTTTTAGGAAAATTAGTGCAGAATTAGTGAAGAAAAGATAGAAAAATAAAGATGAAGCGGAAAATTCGATGTACGCTTGATGTTCTTGTGAAGTGTGGCTCGGCAACAAGCCACGAGCGCAGCATCACATGAACCCCCCCCCCCTCCATAAAAAAGGAGCAGGATTATCAAAACTTGCGCGAAAAACGAGGCTGGCCTGTTGCGATTCATTCCCCTCTTCTTCTGCTTCCCCTTGACAGAAGTGGTGGCGTATCGGCCGCGGGCAGACTCGCTATGCTAACGCCCCTCGAGGTGCTGGCTGCGCAGGCTGCGCAGGCTGCGCAGGCCCCGGGGGCGGGGTTTGCGGCGCTGTGCTGCTGCTGGCGCAGGTCCCAGTTCAGCTGTGAGTGGATTTATTTAAGAAGGACAGCTCGTGCCTACGACCTCGTCCGATTTGGCTGATATTTGGTGGACATGTTCCTCAATTGAATTGAA